CACACACAGGACAAGTGGGTTGTCACAATGATAGTGACAATCATAAATAGTGAATACGCATACGCTGGCGTGAAAATTTTCGAGGTGGCGAGATGAAACTAACATAAACGAACAAACGTCTTCACACAGAGGCCGATTGCATATTTATCTATGAGTGAGGGAGATGGATGTATGAAAGTGATACCGATAGTTTTATGGTTACCCGCCAAAAACCGTAAAAAGTACTACACAATTATATTAGATCGTCCTCTACACCAGCATCATCCATTGTTTATAGTGTCAGACATTGGGTAACTAACTAGATTTTATGGGTCTGCATAGAAACCTAAATTAATTTTACCCGAGACACTGGCGCTGGAGAATGGTGGAGCATATACATACTCTCGAGTCAATCAAGCTCTCATAGTATGTTAAGATTAAGTTTGTCTACTGACATCAATATTACGTTGTTGACACCGCGTGCTCAAGAGGAGATACCATATCAAACTGCTCAAGAAAGTAGTAGGTGTAGTTCATTCACCGGCAAAAAGGGCAGTTGTGTTAATATTTTCTTATCCAGTATGTTTCACCTAATGTACTCGTATATGGGAAACTAATATTTTACAATGTAAGATCTGAAACGTATCCTATGCTTTTCATGATTTAAATCTTCCATATTTTTTCGGCCGTTAGATGTGTTAAAAAGAGTGCGCCGTTGAAATCCGTGACTTCGTACGTTAGGCAATGAGGTGCTTCTATCTCTTTTAACACACGTATTGCACGCGATTCGCGTAGTATATGGTTTTCAGTGTACATACTCGTATATATATATACCTGTATAATTAATCGACTGGTTCTTGATGTATCGGCCAACTGTGGCCTTTTTAAAGCACAAATCAAAATTAACAAAGATAATATATTTTATATAATATATACAGGGTGTTCCTTAATGATATGCGAATATTTAAGGGTGTGGATCTACATGAAAAATTAATGTTAGTTTGCTTTATAAACTATGGTCCAAAAATGGTGTTTTAGGAATGCAAAAATAATGTTTAGCTTTAACAGTGACGTGCGTACGGGAATTGACTTCTATATTTTTTAAGAAAAAAATGGTACGCCAATAGTTTTTTGTCAAATAAAATATTGAATTCCCCGTTCAATTTAAAATTGTTTTCCTCCAATACGCCACTTTTTAGTAAAAAAATAAAAACCGTTCTATTGTTTAACTTGCAAAATTACTAGTAGTTTAATTGGGAAAATTAAACACATTAGGGGCAATGAACCGCAACAACTGACCACATAAACATAACATTAAAACTAACGAAACGATTACAAAAATTGTTGAAAATAGCTCCCTTCACTTAGTATGCATGCTTCCGCCCTCCTTCTCATAGAATTGCGCACTCGTTGAACTATCCCTGGAGTGTTTTTTATTCTATCACAAGCTGCAACTATTCTTTCTCTTAATTCCTCTACAGTGTGAATGAGACTTGTGTACACTAGCGTCTCAAGAAAGCCCCACAAAAAGAAATCTAAGCTGTTGAGGTCTGGGGACCTTGGTGGCCATTCTTGGACCCCCCGCGGCCAGTCCAACGATTTGGATAAACAGTTTGTAAATAATTACGAACCGCTTTACTGAAATGCGCCGGTGCACCATCATGCATGTACCACATATTGTTTCAAGCAGCAAAGACAACTGTTGTTGAAGAAAATTGAAGTAAGTATGTCCGTCAAGTCGTTCCGGAAAGAAGAATGGGTCAATAAAGTGGTTGCCATTAATTCCTGCCCATACGTTAACCGAAAATTGGTGTTGGAAAAGGGTTTCGGTTACGGCATAGGGATTTTCTTCTACCCACAAATGATTATTGTGGAAATTCTGAATGGCATTTCGAGAAAAATTTTCTTCGTTCGTGAACAGAATCATTGATTCAAATTGCGGATTTTGTGACATTTTTTAAAGATACCTCTGACAAAAGGTCACACGCCTTGGAAGATCAATGGGATGTAATGCCTGTATTCTTAAAATATGATAAGGATATAACAAAAAATCCACTAAAATTCTCCAAACAATTTGATGGCAAATATTTAAATGTCTAGCGATCTTCCTCGTACTCGTTTCAGGATGTTCTTCGACTTCGTGCAGCACTGCTTCCTCAATTTCAGGTGTTCTCACACTTAGAGGTCTACCTTCAGATGTTCCTTTTCGGACAGAACCAGTTTCAACAAGACGACGATGAATATTAGAAAAGGTTCGACTATATGGCAAATCACGATCGGGATATCTCTGGTGATAAATCCGTCTGGCTTTCTCACCATTACGGTCGGCAAGGCCATATACGTAATGCATTTCCGCCATGTTTGCATTTGAATAATTCACCATTATTAACAAGATTGTAAAAACTAAATAATAAAAAAGATGTCACAGCGAACAGATTTGAATAACAGAGACTTGTCAGATGTCAAAAGCCAGTGACATATTTCAGAGCAACTAGATATTTATTGCTAAATTGCATTCTTCAATTATTACATTAATTTTCTCGGACAATAGAACGGTTCTTACTTTTTTACTCAAAAATGGCGCATCGAAGAAAAACAATTCAAGAGAGATAATTTGTTTTAAATTGAACAGGGAATTCAAAAATAATTTTTACTTAGCAAAAAACCATTGGCGTACCATTTTTTCTTAAAAAATATCGAATACCCGTACGCACGCCACTGTTAAAGCTAAAAAATATTTTTTCATTGAAAAATATGCAACTTTATTATCTTTCACTACATACTAGATATCATTGAAATATCTGAAGCGGTTCTGAAAATATTAATTAATTTCAATGTTTCTCCTAAAACTTCAACGCCCCGAGTTTTGTAAGGAAGCATTTTTGGACCACATCTTATAAAGCAAACTAACATTAATTTTCCATATAGATTCACACCGCTAAATATTCGCATATCATTAAGGAACACCCTGTTTAAAAATAACAAACGGATTCAAATTATTGGAGCGTAAAATCAGTAGTCATTAAGACTTGCAACAATGAACTACATAACTATCTAGGAAATAATATATTAATTATAATAATAAATTTTACATTAATTTATTTGTAAGGGACTTGAATATAAATGTACCAGATCAGTCAGAGATGCCAAGAATATCTAAATATATTGGTTGAAAATCGTTACTTTTCGCTTATTTATAATAATATTACGAGAGTTGAAAACAACAGTGGAACTTATATAGACCACATATTTGTTAATACACCAATAGCAAATGTAAAATTATCCACCATCCTATTTTACTCACCGTAAAATTACAAGACGTAGTAACTTTAGCAAAAGGTAGTGTGCAAAATACAAAAACCTAGATTATAGCAAACTTAGTGGTAGATTACCAAATGAAAACTGGTTAACTATATACTATGAACCCAGCACAGAAAAAGCTTTCAATATTTTTATTTCTACTATTCAAACATATATAAATGAGCGCACAATAACTGTAAAAATCCCACGCAACCAAATGAGAAGACATCCATCGATATCTAAAGGAATTGTAACATCCATCAACAAAAAATTCAAATTGAATAATGAGATGAAAGAACGGCCCCATGATATAGTACTTCAAAATTAATATAAAATAAATAAATATATCTACATATCCAGCCGATAATCTTCACTCAGAAGCGCAACTCTCACACGTCAGACAAATCTACTTTTACAATGGGTTTATGTACTACATTAAAAATAAGATGCATCAATCACAACTATCAAACAAGTTGAGTCTTTTTATACAGGTTATATCAAACTTCTTATCTTGGATCTATCCGAAAAACTGCATTTTTCAACGGTACTTTTCTTAGTTTTTTGCAAAATCAGATAGATCACTGGTTGTTGAGTTATAAGCGATTCAATGTAACCAGTCCACCGTTTTGAGAGGTACCGGTTTGATATTCTGTGGTTAGAAAGTAGTCATAAGGTAAGCTACCAAAATGGTGCCCAACAGCTGTCTTGAAACTTTAAGCTGTTGTTTTTACGTAAAGATATAGTAATTATTCATCAATTTCATCACTCCGTTTAGCTCTCCGACTTAACCCGTTAAAAAATTAGTAGAGGAACCTTTCTGTGGTTTCACTAAACGGTCAAAAAAACATAAACAAGCACATCTTTCACCAGAGACATTTTGACTATCCAAATATATACAAAAAGTGAAAAGTATTGAAGTTGCTGCCAATATTGGCCTAAAGTCTGGAGCAAGAAATCCGTGGATAGGTCATCCTCATTGTTAGTGGAATAAACAACTTCAAATTAAGTAAGGTGGAGATGTTTATAACGATGGTGATGCACGACGAGCTGGACTACTCCAATATGTGTGCAAGCACATCTATAAATCACCCTCATAAATACTAACAGTTATTGCCCCATGATTTTATTCTTGTTAAGTGCATAATATCAATATTGAAGTAAAAAGAATCAAAAGTTGTCCCAAGAACATAATCGTAAATCATAATGAGTAGATAAGGTGTACATGGTTTCAAAGTTTTGGAAGTTTTTTTTAAGGTTTTATTGAGCCCGAAAAAATAACCTTGACGACCTTTTAATTATGAAATCTGTTCGAATTTTTATATCACTTCTTCATAAACTCCTAAAGCTGCTACCTCCTTTTGCGTCTGCTCTGTAACTATAATAAAACATTTTTGAGCAAGAGTACCAACACAAAACTTGGATCCTTAGCACAGTAACGACCATCTTCAGTGGTATTTTAAACAAGGGTGTACTTAGTCAGAAGGCTTTCTTTGTGGGAATTTACATAACCCTTGAAGAGAGAAACCATAGTCACACCCCACAGAGTTAAAAACCCGATTATATGCTTTGGAACATTTAACTCTATTCGTATATCTTGCCGTTCCCGACATACCAATGGTGAGGGTCTAATTTGAAATATCTGGCACAATGGTCGAGCTCTTAAGCTTTTCAACCATCTGCATCATGAATCATTGTAAGGATAAAATAAATACTTTTTTCAGATGGCACAGGCTAGGATTCAGTATAAAAGGAGATTCTATAACCCTAATACAGGACTGTAAAAATACCGTCACCAAGTCACTGTTGAGAGGAAAAAGATCAAAGCTGAGCATTGATGGAATTATCAGCATTGGATACGAACTAGCTGCTGAATCATACTTCAATGTAAGTATAATATTTCTGCCCAGAATGTTTTTAAAGTATCGCCATAATTTGAAATACACTTCTCCTATTGGTACGGAATCCCAAGACGGCTACTTATCATATCTTCGTAACCAGTTGACCGATTTTAGCTTTTCAAATCCCATTTTGTCCCTTTTCAAGAATGAACATATTTTATGATTACACATTTTTTAAATAATTGTGAATGCGTATTTCTCTTATCATTAATGATATATGATATGTTAAAGTTATATTATATGTCTAATCGGTAGGCAATGTACATGGAAAATTTGAGATATACCTACTCTGCCCCACCCCCAACAACCCTGTAACTCCCAATTTTTAACCCCTACAAGATATTTTCCGAAAATGATCAAGAGCCTCCAAAAAGTCAAAAAACGAATGTTGAGCGCTTTTCACTTTTTATTGTTTTTCCCACAGCTCTGCCGCCACTGGACTGATTTTCAAAAGCTTGTTCATCCTTGGCGTATTAGTAACCTTGTGTGAAAATCGGAGCTACACTTTCCGAGTTATAGACAAGCCAAGCATTAGCGGACAGACCGACAAACAGACAGACAGACATACAGGCAGATAGACAAGCAGACATACAGGTTTGTTAGACACAGGCAGACTGATAGGCAGACAGACATAATATTTTATATACGATTTTTTTCACATTTACAATACTTGCTCCGCCAATTTACGTGGAAGATCGACAATGGCCAATTTGCATTCGTACAGGATCGGCTGAAGCATAACAGGGATACCCTCATATCAGATGACTGACTTTTCGAAGTAATATCAGTGAAAACGTTACCGTTATACATTCACTCTGGAAAATCTGCATTCAATTCAGACGGTCCTTTCCCAAGATTTTGGACATTGACATTTGAAGATGCTTACTGCCTTAACGTACTTAACGTACCGTATCGAATACCCAGAGTGGTATATAATTACTATCCGAATTTGCATCCGTTAACACATTATGGACGTTCGAAGTCAAAAATATGTTCGCCCAGTGTCATGTTTGATCCATTTCCGGGGTCGAAAGTATAAGGATCTATCTAGAAATATCGTCTTGACCTTGCTTTGACCTTCAAATTCAATATTACCACTGAATAGCCAGGGAATACTCTTAATTGACTACTATTTTACATACACCTTGCATATTACTAATAAATAATTATTATCTTGGTGCTCGGCACGGGTATTACGAATCTTGGAAAGTGACATTATGTCGATTACATTATTTTGCTTTTTTGTGGCATTATGTAGGTTTTTCTACAAGATGTTAACCTAGCACTAGCTGATGGACACGTTAAGAACTCGTTTTGTAGTTGTACGTGTTGCCTATACGTCATGATGCTTCAGTTATCAATATTTGGCTCTGATGTGATGTAAAATCTGCTTCAGAGGTGGCGTTACTGGAGGTCTAAGTTGTAAGTTGTTTACTATAGATGGAAGGAGACGGCAATGCATAAGTGCATAGTAAGAATTTGTATGGTAATAATATGTGTTGATGATAATTCCATTGTATTCTTGTCTCAAATACACTTACTTGAGATTCAAAACTAGAAATTAATCGCAACGACTTTTTCTTATCCATTCTAGAAATTAAATAATGCAAAATTGCTGAATTCCAAAAATCAGAGAGATAATAAATTATTATATGTACTGTATATTGCCGAATTACAAATCATATACATGCTAACAGTAATTACACACAACGCGGGCGCGGTGGTAATTTGCTGTAATTTTCCTCAGTTTTTGAAAACACAAAAAATCGTAAAAAATCGTAATTTATAACTTTGAACATAACCTGTCTTCACAAAGGACAACATATAAATAACCCGTCGAGCACCGCTAATAAGATATACTTCATTGGCAGCATATTAAGGAATGATTTTCTTACACAGCAAAAATTACTGATTTTATACACATGCAGACCAATACACATACACATTATCCAGATGCGATTTTGCTACTCAACCAACTTTTTTCTGAGAGATGAAAACTACAGATCTCTCGGCTTCATAAAACATAATGCAACCAACAATGCGTGTAGTCGAGTCATTCCTCCATAGGTGGACGCTAAAACGATCCTAGTGAGCAAACGTGGAATGACTGTTTGCACCCTAAAGCCACCTAGTCTGCAAAATGACATGTTATAGGTTTTTTTTTGACATTTTATAGGTTCTTTACATAACACAAGAAGTTTGTGAGAGTGTTTGACGAAAGTAATACAAATAAGCTATACCGGCACGGGTATTATGTTAAAACCTATTAAACGTCAAAAAAAAACCTATAAGATGTCATCTTGCAGACTAGGTAGTTTTTAGGATGCAGTCATTCCAGGTTTTTTTATACTCCAACTACCACGAAGGCCTAAGGTCTAAACACCCATGGGGCACCGTGGGATTATAGGGGGATACAGGGGAAAGGGGAAACACCACACGAACTCTGGCGAGGGAACACGTGTGAATTCAACATGCACATATTCTGGCCCCGCCTATGAGATCCGCTGGGTGGTACCTCTGCGTTCGACAGTCAGAGACCGTCTACCACCTACTGACAATCACAACATCCATAGCCAAAAGAAAAATTTCTCTTGGGACGGGATTCGAACCCGCACAGCGCACGGCGACTGATCAGGAGACTGAAGAGTCTACTACTACGGCCACCGCTGGTCACTAGGATCTTTGTGAGCATCCATATAGGTTGGTTGCATATGTTTTGTGAAGCCGAGTGGTCTATACCTATGTATATGATTTGCAATTCTACAGTGTACAGTGAATATAATTATTTCTTATCTCTCTGATTCCTGAAATTCAGCAAATTTGCATTATTTAATTTCCAGAATGGATAAGAAAAAGTGGATGCGACTAATTTCTAGTTTTCACACACATTATAGCCAAACATTGATAACTGAACCCTCATTACGTTTAGGCAACTCGTACAACTATAAACGAGTTTACAAAAGTGTCAATCAGCTAGTGCTTATCTTATCGAAAAACCTACATAATTTAGAAAAAAAGCAGTATACTGCCAAAACAAACCGATATAACGTCCACTTTTCAAGATACGTAACACCCTTGCTCGTGTTCCAGAACATACGAAAATAACCAAAAAAAGTTCCAATAGATATGGGCCCAAAGATGCTCCACTACTGAGAAGAAGTTTTATTTACGAAATGTAAATGTGGATTCATATGTGCCTTCTTTTCGGGCCTGATGAAGCCAACATGTAGAAATACGTATTGCTCGGGTTACGTATCCTATTTTCTGCTCGAATCCACATTCCCTCTTTGTGGATTTGGCCCATTATTTTCCTATTTTTTGTTATATACCTTTCTCCACATGATCATTTTCCCTTTGTAGACCCTTTGGGCTTGAAGTACCACAGCAAGTGGCTGTATCGGCCGCGTGGTTGTGGTTAGATGTCGGCTTGAAAAGTCGAGGTCTTTTAGCCATTGTATACTACAATGTGTAGGTTGGCTCTAGTTTCGGACTGCGTGTGTGATTTTTTTCCCTCATCATCTTCGTTTCCTCAGGTTGCACCCGTATCCGGATGTATGGGCATGTGTATCTACTTTTGTGGTTGCATATGTGCATTCATTTCGGACCTGATGAAGCCAACAAGCAGAAATACGTATCGCTCCAGGGACGTAGGAACTGGGGTACCCGGACCCCTAATAAGAAATATTATTACGGCACTGGCTCTTTCGGAGAACAGAAGTGCATTTTATAAAATACTATTCAATTTTCTATAAATGTTGTCACTTACGGAATTTTCGTGAGATCACTCGCTTTGGAGATATTCAGGTTTGAATATTTGAGGTACAATCCTAAAATATTCTTATGAAAAGGTTTAGCCTCCCCTATTACGATAACACCGTGAAGCTTGATATTGGAAACACTATATGGCAAGTGAAGAAAGCTATGACACCTGATTACAACATTAACTAAATTGTATGCGTGTCTTACTTCAATCAGTAGCGAAGAAGCTTACCATTCATTAAACCTTGTCTTTGCACGCCACTGGTTTTCATGGTATATTTCTCGTTGTATTACCCATGCTAGATTCTTCTGTTCGTCTAAAATCACAACTAGTAATTGTGGAACCAATAAATTTGAGTCAAATCCTTATTGTTTTACTTCTGAAATTATCAGCCAATTTTTTCAAAATTCTTTAGCATTTCAGATTAAGTGAGCTCAGCAAAGAAGATATCACAAATCGTTAGCAGCCTGAATATGAGAACGAAGTATACTTTCAACACTGTTCGAACTACGCTAGGTAATTTCCAAAGAGTCAGCGAGGCCTTGTGGTGTTGTGTTGAATCAAGAGGTGGTCACTTTCAACACCTTGTTCAGATTGGATATTATTGCATTTATTCAGCATTATTTTTTGTTCCCCATGTTATGTCCTCATAAGTTTAGAAATAACCAATTAGGTTATACCAAATGTAATATGTCGTGTTTAATTCTTACTAGCTTTATTTATATTTTTTCTTTGTTTTGAAGTTTCTTAGACTATAGACAAATGTATATGCCGGCAAAACCAGTAGTGTAAACAGGAAAGGTTTAATAAATGGTAAGCTTCTACGCTACCGATTGAGGATAAGGCGCCAATCAATGTTGTAATTAGGTGCCATAGTTTCTTCACGTGTTTCTAACATCAAGCTTCACGGTGTTTTCAGAATATGGTAGGCTAAACGTTTTGATAAAAATATTTTAGGATTTTACCACAAATATTCAAACCTCCAAAATGAGTGATATGAAGAAATTTATGGAGAATTGAATGGTATTTTATTAAATGCACTTCTTTTATCCGAAAAGGCCAATGGCGTAGAAAATATTCCATACTAGGCCTCCAGGTTCCGCAGTTTATACGTCTCTGGATTAGTTTACATCGGGAAATTGTGTGTTTATTCGTTATGATCTGCGTCTAATATCTTAACTCTAAGTAGATATAATGTTTTTGAATCTCGTAAACAAGTCTTCACCACCCTGTAACTCGGTAAAGGAGCATCTTTAGGCCCATATTCATTGTAACTTTTTTTAAATTTGGATGTACCTTCAACCCAAGAAACATGTCTTTCTGAAACACGCTGTATAAATATATTTGGAATCAGAATAAAAGCGATTATCATTTTCACTGAAAATATACAGAATTTAAAAAAATATATATTTATTCGATAGCAATGTTCACAAAAAGCAAAACTTTGAAAACCTGCCGTTATACATTATATTACAGCACTCCTCGTACACGTGTTACCATCATTTGGAATAGAAATTTCTCCTAGGCGTATCAATTACTTACTATTTTCTATTTTTTTCATATCAGGGTGACATCCAAATGTTGAAAATTGCTTCAACACCAGACGAAGCATATGAAATGTGTGTGAAGTACGCCCCCGAGTGCGACGTAATCTACAACAGATATAGTAGCGAATTCAGCAGTAGTTCCGCCACTTGGGGTTCTAGCAGTTCATCCAGAGGTAGCACTAGCAGAAGCAGTAGTTCAACCAGTTTTAGTACTACTAGTTCCGGTTCCAGCATGTCAGGTGGTATAACCAGAGACGAGTCATATGAAGGTATGGCGTCTAGGATAGTCTTTATTTATTTTAGAAAAGCGGGTCAGTGGTTGCGAAAATAATATTCCTCTATTCCAACGCTACTTGCGGTTCATCGAAAAATAATGTCTAGGTATAATTATACCAAAACCTCTGTTCAAAAAATCTATCATTATATTAACTATTTTCTATGCAATTCGAAACCTATGCGCTTAAGTGTGCGTCCATATTGCAAGCCTAGCGCGGTTGCGACGACGGTAGTTTTCAACCGTTCCTGTTTCGCGCTTCTGGCCAATCAGCAAGCGCCATAAGGCGCTGGGGCGACGGTAACAAACCAGTTTGATCTTGTCTCTCAGAGTATGCATAAATATTATTGTATTGTAATGGCGAAATGCAATTCAATCTAAACCAACTATTTGGCAAAGTAAACCTCAACGCCACAGATATTTCACTGGATGTAGTCAAATGTTAACACGGGCATTCAAGTAGTAGTAGTAGAAAGATTTATTTAGCACATTTGGCTACATAAATAGAATAATTGTAAACAACTTAGAACTAGTAAATTCAAGCCATATGGTGTATGATGTAAATGATGGGCAACCTATAATTGTAGATTTAACAAGTGATTTCTCAATTTTACTTTAAATTTTGTCAAAGTTTTCTGGTCTTTTATCTCCGAGTATAATTTATTATATTCAATCAACCCTTGATGGAATACAGATTTGTAGCATATGTTATACTTTTTGGTCATTAAATGGAAGTCATCTTTATTTCTGGTATTATGTAAATGATGGTCGACATTTGATGATGTTGAATTAGTTAGTCTTGATGGGAATATATTATTTTTTAATTTATAAATGAATATCATTACAAGATATTTGATAAAATTTTTTACATTGAGCCATTTTAATTTGCTAAGCATTTGCCTAATTAGAGTATATTTATCTTTATTTAGTATTATTCTCATGCACTTATTTTGTAAAATATGCAGTCTTTCAAAAATGGAATTATTTGCTAAATATAGAATAGTCGAACAGTACAAGAAATTTGGAAGAATGATGGTATTATAGATAATTTTTCGGTTATATGATCTCAGACATCCAGAAACTCTCGATAAATATCCCACTTTACTACTAATCTTTTTTATAACTTTTTCATAATGAATATCAAAAATTAATCGAGAGTCAACAAAAACCCCCAGGTATTTAAAATTTTCTACGAATTCAACATCTTCACCATCAATATTCAGTTGAACATTTTTGTACATTGCTTTTTTCCGATTAACAAGGCTTTCGTTTTACTTGCATTTAATTTTAGTCTGTTAGATGCTAACCATTTTGAGACAAGCTTCGAGTCTTCATTTATACAGGGTGTTCCATAATTATTGCGACAAAATGATAGGGGTTGTAGAGGGCATCAAAATGAACAATTTTTCCTTATAAACCCCTGTTCGGAAATATGCCGTTTGGGCTGCAGCAAAAAAAAAAGATCAGTTTCTTGAAACAGCTTACCTACAGTAATTGCTCAAAGTGTCCTCCACCTTGCTCAATACACAGCTGTGCACGATTGTTCAATGATCGGCGAACTCTGTGGCATACCCCCGGTATGTCCTGAACATGTGCGGACGCGGCCATCACTCTTCCCAGTAGCTCTTGTTGGTTGGGAACAGGAGTTTCGTACACTAAAGCTTTCAGATAGCTCCAGATAAAATAATCCAGTGGGGTCAGGTCAAGTGACCGCTAAGGCCAAGGCACAGGGCCACCTCGGCCTATCCACCTATTTGGAAATTTGTCGTCCAAATACTGCCGCACTTGTAAAGAAAAGTGGGCTGGACCGCCATGGTGTTGAAACCACATGTTGGCCCTTATATTCAGTGGCACATTTTGTAATAGTTCCGGTAGCACATGCTGTAAGGATCGACCATAAGCATGCCCATCCAAACGTGGTGGAAGCAGATATGGCCCGATGATATGCTCGTCCACAATGCCGCACCAGATGTTAATTGAAAACTGATGTTGGTCTCTATGGATGGCTATGGCATGAGGGTTTTCTTCATCCCAAATGTGACTGTTATGGCTATTAAAATAACCGTCCTTTGTAAAACAGGACTCGTCAGTGAACAAAACGTAGCGACCAAAGTTTGGTTGCCTCAACTCCTGCTGCAGCCACCAACGGCAAAAACGTCGACGCGGCAGATAGTCTGCTGGACCCATGGCTTGGACTTTTAAAAGGTGGTACGGGTGTACGATAACAAAAATGTAAACACAGCAGGCTTTTTTTACAAACCGGTGAGACCATGAAATGTGCTAGACGAACATTTTGCAGCTGGTGAATTTTTTGTTTCTCCTATGAGCTCTTAAGGTAAAATTAACTGTAGTGCTCAAACGGCATATTTACGAACAGGGGTTTATAAGGCAAAATTGCATATTTTTATGCCCTCTACAACCCCTATCATTTTGTCGCAATAATTATGGAACACCCTGTATAAGAGATACCAGACTGAATATTTTTAGTACTTATATAAATCATAGTGTCATCGGCGAAAATCTGAATTTTGCATTTTTTTACTATGGCAGGTAAATCATTTATGTATAGAATAAAAAGAAGTGGTCCCAGGATACTGCCCTGTGGAACACCCAATGTATTTTCAATTTTTGATGAAATAGTGTCATTAACTTTTGTAACTTGCATCCTTTTAGACAAATAATTTCTAAACCAATCTAAAACACTTCCTGTTATACCATATGCCTTCAATTTACCTAACAAAATATCTCTATCAATCGTTTCAAATGCCCTCTTCAAATCCAAAAATACTGATATGACAACTTCTTCTGAGTCTGTGGCTCTTCTCCAATTCTCAGTTTCCAACTGGAAAGCTGTTTCTGTGGAATATTTTTTTCGAAAGCCTGCTTGCGCCTCCACTAAAATTTTGTTTTCTTCTATAAACTGCATTAATTGGTCATGCACTATGGGCTCTAATAATTTTTCAATGTCTGGTAACACATTTACTGGTCTCATATCGCTGCATATTTTAGAATTTTTTATTTTGGGAACTGGTGTTATTGTAGAGCATTTCAAATTTTCAGGAAAAGAACTGCTTCTCAGTGAACAATTGATCCAATTTAATACAGGATATCCCAAAATTTCGAAACAGTTTTTCAGCACGTTTTTAGTAGTGATTTCGGCACAGTTGTTATTTGATTTTAAACTGTTTACTTTTTTCTTAGATAATTCAATGATACGCCGTGAAATTTTGAAAGTGTATGCAACATTTGTGTACTCAAAAAATTTGGTAGGGTATAATCTCAGTTCTGCATACAAATGAAAAAATTCACCAGCTGTCTCTCTGTTCTTATTTATCTCGTGCACACCATCTCGACTGTTCAACACCTCCCATCTCAGGATCAGACTGTCGTCCATAGTTTGGAACTTCTGATAATACGTCAAACCAGTGCAAAAGCTCGCGTGTCACTGTGGACAACGCACGCCGCCGCTCGCCTCGCCCGACTTAGGCCCCAGTCACCCCGCATCCACCCACTAAAGATTCAATTGTCAAAATATGACAGAATAACGGAATTTGATATATCTGGATTTGTGATATCTGGGAATTTAAATCAATATGGAAATTCAGTACAAGTTTAAGAGCTACCAAGATGGTTCTGATAATAGAAAGCGTTTATTGTAGTCGGAGTCAGATAGGGGAGACCAGAGCAAAGTGAACACACTTTCTGCTAAAATTACGTAAAGGTTAATTACCACATAGACGTCTTCTAAAAATAAACTTTTCTTAGTTGAAGCTATTAAGTATATAGATAGCTAAAACAAGAATTTGGAAAATCATTCACAGACCCTGAGGGTAAGGTGAACACATTATCACAAATGGTCAGGAACCTATTTCACCCAAAACTCTGATGTATACTGAACAAAACAATACTAACCAATTGAATTTTCTCTATGAAACAACTGAGAAAATACATTGTGGTGGTCATTTTTATCAATTCATTGATATTGTTCGTCCAGGTCATTTCCATATTCATATCTATAAGCTGTCTACGCCAAAATACCAATTTCATATTCACTAACAACAAAAATAAGGGGTTAAGGGCAAATACAGTATCCATTTTGCCCGATCCGCGTTGCCCGACGTTTCTAATTTTTCTTGTACCAAAACAACCAAATAACAACCCGAATATCACACTGATATCCTGGGCGAACTGTATTTATTGTTATACCTGTTTAGTTATTTGTTGCTAAGGGAAAGAAAGAATTTAATTTGCTGTCAGTTACCTTTATGTCAATCTTGGGATAGTGAAAATTAATTTATTGATTCAGATTTTACTTGGTGCTAAAAATCACGTTTAACGCCAGACATCCAGTGAAGATGACTTCGCATAGGTATGTTTTTGACCTTGTTACTAAATTTACTCAAACTGGATCTGTTGCAAATAAAAAACGTGGTCATCGGAGAGTTTTGGATGAAGCCGCTTAAGTTGACGTTTTGGAATAAATTCTAATATTTCATTACGCCAAATTGTTGCTGCGACTGGTATCTCATTAGGCTCCGTACTCACAGTTACTAAACTCCATAACTTCATCCATTCAAAATGAAAATATTGCAAGAGTCAACCGATTATGACTCCGATAGGCGAGTCGAGTTTTGTGAACAAATGACTGCAGCGATTAATTATAATACCATTCATATAAAGAATATCTGCTTCAGTGATGAATGCACATTTCATCTAAATGGATTTGTTAATAAGCATAACTGCAGGTATTGGAGCAATGAAAATTAATTATGGGTAAAGATTTTAGAAAACAAAGTGATTGTGACATTGTTTGTTAATGGAAATGTGAATGGAGACATTTATTTGGATATGTTCGAAAATACCATCAATCCGCTTATCACTGAAACAATTGAAAATCAAATCGAAAAGGATGGAAACCCTATACTTGATGAGGCCGAAATAAATTTCCATCAAGACGGCGCTCCTTCTCACTATGTTCTTCCGGTTCGGCATTTT